GCACAACCAGTGGCCATGATTGGTTGTATTACAGAGCGTTCGATCAAGCAGGGGAAAGATTACATGATTTCCTTTATGTTCCAAGCAGGATACTACTACTAGCACTGGCATTGTGCAAAATAACATCAGGTTCTGAATACAGTATTTTGCACCTGTTAAAAACACTTGTGAATATTTCCTGCAAAAAAAGTTCCAGAATGCAAAAACACTGTACAAGAGCTCCGATAAATATTCCCAACATGGAGAATTTTTTAAAAAAAAAATCATACCTGTAAGAATGAAACAAAGTTTTGCTCCCTGTTATTTGTTGGTTTTCCTTCTGAGCTCTGTGCAGAATGCAACAATGAATTTTAAACTACCATAGCTCATGAGCTGCTTTTGGCTTTATAAAATTGCATTTATCTTGCTTACTGAAACAGATATAAATTTCTGTCCAGAAAAAGCAGTTGGGGAGAGCAAAAAAGAAAAATATTGAGAGGCTTGCATTTTTTTTTCAGTGTATGAGAGGGAAAAAGGTAATGAAGGCAAATTTCTGTTGGTTAGGAAGAAACGAAGGATCCTGCATATTTTTCATTGATGGAATTCATGGCTATGTGATGCACATTTCTCTTTTTATGATGTTCAAGGACCATAAAACCAAAGGTGGGAAAAGTTATTTTTCTGAGTGACAACTCTGTGACACAGCCTTCTGTTTTTTCTCTAGGCATCTATAAAGTTCCACAGGACTCTTAGAGGTTTAGGTGTCAAGACTCTCTGACCTAACACCTTGAAATACAAAACCGCTAAGCTTTTATCCTTCTCTAAGTGAATTAAAATAAAACTACTTCTTCCAATAACCATTGCTTCAGTATGCAGTTTATTGACTTAGCAATGTATAGTCAGTTTAGAGAACCCTATGCTATTGAAATCAGTCTGATCATTACACTAGCACCATCATCATTATAAATAACATATAAACAAAGTAAAATACATGTGTAGCTCTAATCAACCATGGTCTGAGACGCATTATTTCTCTTGCATCTTTAATGAGGAAATGACATATCACCTATCAAAAACAACTGAATACTATTAATACTACATATTGGCTGAAATGCTCTTGTGTAGTTACACAGGTGTAACTCATTGTTATGCCCTCAATAACTACAACAGTGCCAAGGTGGAAGTGTTGCTATCCATGAAACACTTCCACTGGCAATTACACAATTGATCATAACAAGAACCACATAACTGACTGTACAATCAAATTGCACAATCTGTATTGCCTGGGTGCAATGTCCTGCAAAATTATATCTGTGTAACTTTACACTACATGGTGATGAACTGGATTCTAACCATCATTGCATGGTATGTCATGCATCAGATTAATTACTTAATCACTGTTAATTGCTAAATACCATGCATGGTTTGTCATGCATCAAATGCTATCAGAAGAAACTATGCACTGTTACCTTTAAATCTATGAACAATCATACCACCATGAACACATCCAATCCCATTTCCTTTTGAAATCTAAGTAGTATTAAGCTTAGTTAGTACACAAGAAGGAAATTACCAGGGATTTTCATATATGCCTAGGAAATAACCTTATATGGCCAGCTGAAAGCCAGAGTTTACAATATTGGGTTTAATGGACCAATGGTCTCACTCAGTATAAAGCATCTTCCTTATATCAAACACTGAAATAAAATATAACTGGATACCACACACAGAATAAAAATATGAATGAGCTCAGGCAATATATGGGGTATATGTCATCCAGATGTGATTGTAGTTTAAGCTAAGCAGGTCTGTCTCTCTGGGAGACAACTTGGAATCATATGTAAACTGTTCTGAATTCTTTACAGGGAAAAGGTTAGATTAGATTAGGCATCCTTCAGTCTCGAGAGACTATGGTAATGTGCTCTGAATAGAGGACTTGGAACAGCATCTCGTGTGGCTGAGAAGGCCAATTCGAGAGTGACAATCCCTTCCACATTGGAGACAAATACAATCTGTCCCCTGTCCAGCTCCCTGATTTTGCTGGTTTCAGGACTGCCTCTTTGCCTCAGCCTGCTGGATAACAGTCTCTTCAAAATGGGAGAGGCCACAATGCACCGCCTGCCTCTAGGCTGAATGCTCAGATGTCAAGGTTTCCCATCTGTTGAGGTCCATTTTTAATTTTTAATTAGCAACCATTTTAACTATAATACATATAGGAAGTCTCTCAAATCTCCTGAGTTGACTCAATTGTGATATAGCTTCTTCCAAACCAACTGAACAGACAGGACTTTTGAACCAGTGAACACAATTTTTTAAAGGAATATCCCTCTTCACTATTCAAGTAGAAAGCACTCCGTTTTAATTAATAAGCTCTTGTTTTCAAACAGTTCACTAAGAACTGCTGTTTTGTTACATCAACACTGGCCTAATGAGCAGTTTTTACAGACAATTCTTTTATGTTTGTAAAAGCAACCTACTACAAATGAAAGCACTAGATTAAAAATACTTTGTTTACTTACAGACAACACACTGTGAACAGCAAGAGGATAGACTTCCTTCTGGTGCTCCTTCACTACCCTACTTATTAAAGAGGAAGGGAAATTCATAGAAAGTCACTGTACAAAACCAGATCTTGGTTTTCTACTTAAGACTCTATATCCCTGCTTAGTCTAATAAAGAAACATTCTGGATGTAAAGCCACCAAATAATTGAAAAATGAGACAATATGAAATATATTTCATACAGGCCAACATACAGCTGCTGGGAAATGACAGTTTTTGACCACTGTCTCATGCACTGAATTCAGATGGGAGGATTAAACCGGAAGCTTTCATATGTATGTATCAACTTGTCTCCACAGGCTCTCTAAACCCTTGTTGCAAGTTACCTAAATGGCTGACTACAGATATAAGAATCACTTGTATTTCTGAATCCTCGCTTGTTTGATCCTTTTAAGTATTTGTACACTTACTGTTCTTAACTTTAATATTGTCTTTTAATGATATAAGCTGACTTGGATCCTTTTAAGGAGAAAGGAGAGTTAAAATACTTTAAATAAATAAATAAACAAAGTTATATAGAAAGTAGATGTGAATATATATATGATTTTGTGGCAGAACCACTTTTTGTTTAGGATTTTATTCGAATTTGGGCACCTATCAGCTCTTTCCTTTTCTTTCCTGCCCCCTACCATCCCTCTTTTGCTTCAGATTTCTCTGTCTACAAGCCAGCCAGCACATCTTGCCTAAAGATGTTTTGAACAGTGGTATCATTTTACACTAGCATTAATACTGGAATCAGTTTATGTTTGCCATTTCTATCAAGCATGATCAGGTGAATCTGGCTATTCACTCTTACAATTCTGCTGTCTGGTAGCAGTTTTTGAAATCACTCCATTGTGCCTAGGTAACACATTATCCTGCTGGTTGTCCTTTCCGCCATATTAACTTAACCTACAATTGGGCAGCAATTACAGAGATTGATTCTCCTTTAATTGGGAGAAATCCATAAAAGACCACAGAAGTGGAGTGAATGACTGTGAAGAAAAATGCAGCCAAAACAGGGTTTCTCTAGGTTCCTGTAGGAAAGACTACCAGGACCCTTCGCTCCCCTACCCCAGCCCACAATTCCCAATGACCCCAGGTTTATATTTAACAATGAAGCACACATGAATAGGTTGGAGGGGGAAACCCTGCTAAAGGGAGACAGAAATATTGTGAAACGGAAAGATATCTTGTGATTTTCTAAACTTACATTTTAGGAAACATTGGCTAGGATTCAAATGGTCACCCGAACTTAGTATTACCTCAGGCCATCTAAGTATCTGGCCTTGATTAGGGATATGACAAACACTTGGCATTTTTTTTTTTTAATCCTGGCAATTTCTGACAATTCACCTGGACAGGGAATCGCTCCCCTGAAGACTGGATTTCCTGGAGCAGCAGCAGGGGAGTTGCCCATCTCAAAAAATTCCTACACCAAATTAAGTTTGACAGTCCTGTCTGCATGTGAGTGAAGTATTATTCTCCTCTCATCATTCTTATCGATTTCAGGTTCCCACAGTTTTTAATGGTTGCGTTCATCCTACATAGGATGATTCACAACAGTCTCAAACTGATCAGCACAACAACTAGAAATTGAGGGGGGGGGAAACAGATTAAAAAATCCTATTGAGGGTAATACTCCAGGCAGAAGTACCGGAGGATTGTCAAATTCAATTTTGCACAGGAAATCAGTGAGAAAGACAGATATTATTCTGTCTTTGGGCCCAAGGGGCAGGAAAAACAAGCAATATTAAAATTTCAAAATGCTATGTGATCTAATAATATAGCATAACAACAAACTCATTCTCACAATTCAGGAAGAATAAAGAGAAAAAAACTGTAATTGTTACATTAGGTGGGTTTGCCTCTTTAAAATTAGGGTCAGCCAAGCTTTCATTGTTTGTTATTTCGTTCTTAATGGTCAGGTAGTAGGTCATAATGACCAATGCTCCAAAGCAGTCTGAATAAAATTCATGGTTTGTTTGGACAGCAGTAAGGAAGGCTGATCTAAGTGCTGATAAGGAATCCAGCACAGTTTGGCATTCATTCCTGGACAATATCTAAAAAAATTAAGCATAGCGTTTTGAAGGAATACATTTAACTGAGGACAATTTGCGGGTGATGAAATCCCAAGTGAGGGAACAAAAAAGACAGAAAATTCCATTAAAAGTTGTCAGACTGAAAAACATCTATATTTACAAACCTATTTTTTCAGAACGAGCCAAGAGCGCAAACAATTATTCTGATCCCAGTTTGTTCCGTTGCCATAATTTAACACCAGTTTCCTGAATGTGAACATTTCAGAAAATTGTACTTCATTTAAAACAGAAAGTAGGTACTTTGATCCTCTTTTTATTACCACAGAAGAAAAACTGAGCACACAACCCTGAGGGAAATCATGCCTTCCTGTTATACCTGAATTGGGTCATAAAATTGTTATAAGTTGTTTTGCTAAGGTACCCCTTATAATTCTCTTACCTTAATCAAAGCCTCCAATTCTTGTTGGGATACACAGTTGTTCTCCTGAAGGAATTCTGCCTTGTCATTGGCTATTCTAATCTTCTGGCTATTTTCTTCTGGCTGCTCCAGGGCGCGGAACACAAGGCCTCCAGTGACCAGGTAAATCACAACCACAAAAAAGATGGCCACAACGGTCTTCCACTTCATGACGGTCTGCAAACCCTGCGAGGGGGTTTCCATGGTGGCTATCACAGATGTCCGAGGCGAAGAAATGGGAAGTCGTGGTGCTGATTGATGTGTATTGGTCTTATTGGTCTCAGGTTGAGCAGCTGGGGGGACAGCTACTGGAAGAGTCACTAAAACAAGGGGGGGAAATGGATATGGGTAAATCTCTTTGTCAGATCATGGCCTAGAATGACTCACTGACTGATTGATGTATTTACTTCAGTTCTTACCTTGCATATATGTGCAGCAGAATGAGAAACCACCTTTTTTTCTCCATACAAGTAATCATGGTGGATAAAAAATCAATTTAATTTAAATTAAAAAATAATATATTTGTATTTAAATCAATTTGGTTTAAATCAAATCCACCTTACAAGTAATTATTACTATGTTTTCTTTTTTTCTTTTTTCATAATGCCATTATTTATTAGGTTATTTGTTTATTTTGCATGGCTGAAATAATCTGTTCGAGTTTAAACATAACTCCCTTTATAAGAACAGTCCTGAACTGGGTGCTTTCCATTTGTCCTGGACTACAGTTCCTATTAACCTCAACCATGCCCATTATGTTACCAAATTACCATCACCCTAGAATGCTATCCAAGAACAGCTGATTTAAAACTGGAACTTCATATGAAGTAATTTATTTCATTTAAAAAATGTCCTTTTTCTTTTTCTTCTATATCAAATGAACCATTCTGAAGTACAGTGGTGCCTCGCAAGACGATTGCCTCGTGGGACGAAAAACCCGCTAGACAATTGTTTTTTGCGATCACCATGGTGCCTCGCAAGACGGTTTTTTCTATGACCATGCTTCGCAAGACATTTTTTTTGAGACCAATGCTTCGCAAGACGAATAAATTTCATTCATCTTGCGAGGTCCCATAGGGAACCTCACAAGATGATTTTTTTGCAGGACAGTGATTTTCGTGGAACGAATTAAAATCGTCTTGCAAGGCACCACTGTAATTTTAACCCTTTTTCTCTACCCGACATGCACAGAGAGTCCCAGACATAACTTGAACTTTCACACAAGAATGGAAGAGCCAGTATATCCTTGAAGGATACATTTCCACACAGCAACTCCATTTCAGCCTCAGTTGAAAGTGGTAGATGTAGTTTGCAAAGAGGATTATACCAAATACATAGCTAGCATTTCCTATGATTGCCCTTGAACATCCAACATCCATTCTGGTGAGCAGACAACAGGACTTGGATTCCAACAGCCAGAATTCCTCACTCCTTTAAGGACTATTGCTGTTATTGTGTTGCATGGTTTTGTGATGTTGAATGAAGTGTTATTATAAGCAGATGGATGTGTGGTAGGGGTAGGCAGAATGTGGATTCTGGGTTGTGTATACCCCTAAAGCTTTTTTAAGGACCCCTGACAGCTGGTCAGGTACCCCATTCTCTCATAGCCATGGAAAAACTGGAGGTGAAAAATGTCATTTCTCTCTCCTGAAAACTTTTGGAAGCAGCAATTTTGCTATAAAGTGATAGAGTTCCCCCACCCTCTACCCCCCCAAAAAAAACCCACTTCTGAAAGCAACCCCACATATCCAGAAGCAACTTCCAGAAAGTGGAAGCTGCATGCATGCAATGTCAACTTTAAAAAAGGAACAGAAAGGCTTCCACGTCTTTCAAAGGTACAATTCGACACAGTTGCTCCATTAACTGGATGATGTTTTCAATAAATGGCATCTACAATTCCCTGAAGTGTGATGCCATCTCAGCTCAATTACATCAAGTAAAGTAGAAAGGCTAATTTGTTATTTTTCTGTCACATCCTATGTGGGGGGAAGTTGCATGTGGAAGAATAAGAGATGAAGTCAGCGTCTCTGTGTATCTACAGTTTTCTTTCTTTAAAGCAGAGATGGGCAAAGTATGTTTACCCCAGATATCAGTCGCTTTTTCTGGCAAAAAAGAGTTAATTATAGTTGCCAGAGGTAGCAGGCTGCCTTTTAAATGAGCCACAGTCCCTGTTCAATCTTTAACAATTCAAAATCAATTTTTTTCCACAACTGGAAGTAACTTTCTAGACAACTTCCAATTTAGCTTTCTGCTGCTTTTCTTTTTGACATTTTTGGTGCTATGCATGATCCCCAGGGCAGAAAATTGGCTTCTGGACCCATCAGACTGCTCATACCAGCTTTACAGTACTGTATAACTTGGATGGATCCAGAATTTTGCCTATGCAACTGGGCTGATGAAAGCAGATTTCCCCTTCCCTCATGGCAGCCTATCCAACCCAGCCTGAAATGGTATACATCGAGTCAAGGAATCCAATTGAATATGATAAAATGTGCTATGTTGTGGGATGGGAACCTCTGTACATAGATCCATTCCACAAACACAGAAATTAGCAAATTCTGCCCCTCCAGATATTGTTGAACTGCAAATCCCAGCATTCGTCTTCATGGCTATACTAGCTAGACCAGTTTTTGTAGTCCAGACATCTTGAGGGTCATAATTTATTCACCACTGTGCAAGCAGAAGGGAGATCCTAACCTCAGCTGCTCATGTTTTCTTCAACAGAATTAACTTGAAGACACAAACAGTAATTATTATTACTGGTTAACAACCACTATACAGTAATTATATAGTGGTAATTATATAGCCTCAGCCTGTCTTATAACATTCTAGCCAGTCATGTGTTGTGAATTTAAACAACAACAAAAAAAAAATTGTGTGCCATCAAGTCAATTCTGATTAGAGATGGGGGTATTTGTATATGAATGCCCCCCCACAGGTGCAGATAACGAGGGGGCTAGACCGACCACCCACAATTCCACCACTGCAACGAGCTCCACTGAGCCTTCCTATCACTCTGTTTAAGACATAAGACATAAGACATAAGAAATTTATTTGTCATTGCACTCACAAGTGGGTGCAACGAAATGAGGTGCTCTTCCCCAAGGTAAAACTGGACAACACCACTACAAAAAAAAAGTTAAAAATATACACAACACTCACCATACAAATATAAATACCCCGTTTCTCCCAGCAATTAAAATTCCACCAAAAACTTATGACCCCGCATTTAAACTCAATACTGCACTTGGGTAAAAGCTGTTCTTGAATCTGCTTGTCCTTGCTTTCAATACCCTAAATCTCCTTCCCGATGGTAATAATTTAAAGAGCTGATGTCCCGGATGAGAGGAGTCTTTCAGTATGTTAGATATCTTCCTCTTACATCTGTTCTTATACAATTCTTCCAAAGAGGGGAGTGAACAGCCAATGATGTTTTGGGCGGTCTTAATCACCCTTTGAATTGCCTTTTTCTCTGCCACTGTGCAGCTCGTGAACCATACACAGAGACAGTAGGATAATATGCTCTCAATCGAACTCCGATAGAAGGTGATTAACAAACTCTCAATCAATTGTTGCTTTCTAAGAATCCTTAGAAAATACAACCGTTGTTGTGCCTTCCTGATTAACGCAGCGGTGTTTGCACTCCAAGTCAGGTCATTTGTTATGATAGTCCCAAGAAACTTACATTCAACCACCTGTTCCACACAAACTCCATCTATATACAGTGGCTGAATGTCTGCTCTTTTTTTCCTATAGTCCACTATGAATTCCTTGGTTTTTTGGATGTTAAATAAAAGATTGTTTTTTTTGCACCAGCGGGATAGCTGTAATACCTCGTCCCGATACGCAGACTCATCATCCCCAGAGATAAGTCCTACTAGGCACGAACCAGTTTGTTTTTTGGCTGAATAGATGTTTGGTACTATCCAGCCCCACCTCCTCTGGTGGGCACCCACTCAGAGACAATGCCTGGAGGAGGCAGGACAGGGAATCCAGGGTGCGGCCTCTGAGTGGGCACCCATCGGAAGAGGTGGGGCTGCGATGAACATGCATTCGCCAAAAGAAAACACAAACCAGCACAAACCACCAAACCTTCTCTTTGTATTGATAGAAATTCATGCCCATCTCTTTGTATTGATAGAAGTGCTATTTTAGGCTATGACTCTGAATTTAACTTATGTGAAGCCTTGAACCATGAATCTTGCAAGCTACAGTTCAATACTCACTGCCTCTCTGTTCCTATCACCTGTCAAAAGGAGAAGTTTTTGATATATACTTGACCAAAATCCCAAGCTCTTAAGATGGCCAAAGTATGGCCAGTGACAAAATAATAATAATAATAATAATAATGGCTTTCCTTTATTATGCATATATATAACAAGTGACGGGGACTCTGAAAGCCCTAAACTTCCCACATCCATAAAAACCAAAACTAGAAGTGACTCTCCAACCACTGTTGTAGAATAAGAATAATTTATTTACGGTCCTTAGACCAGTCACATAAGTATAAAACCTTATAAAACCTTAAAAAATTCTAACTTTCAATATTCCATTAGAACATGTTGGCATACATACAACTGTGAACTGCAATCTAATTGGTATTTAACTTCCGCAGTCGAAGTATTGCTACACAGAACCTCACAAGACATGAGAGTTAAGGAAGTATATCTAGAAATTGGAATGGGTCCAGAGGAAAATGACCAAGATAGTAAACAATCTAGAAACCAAGCCCTGTAAGGAACCGTTGAGAGAGCTCAGAGCAAGTTTGTTTTCTGTGGCTCCAAATGGTATGACCTCAACCAATGGAGTCTCATAGCAAGAAAGGAGATTTAGCAGTGGGAAGAACTTCTTGCTAGCAAGAGCCATTTGGCAGTGGGAAGAATCACCTCAGACAGTGGTGGAGGCTCTGCACAGGTTGCATGGCCACCTGCCAGGGATGTTTTAGCTATGGATTTCCTACTTCAGCAGTGAATTGGGCCAGCTGAGGGGGGGGGGTGGCTGTGGGAATCCTTTCCAATCCTACAGTCATGATTCTATGAGCCTCTGGATGAATAAGCAATGGTACTTGTCAATGCAATATTGACTTCCCTATTCATTCACCACAACTTCTGAAATGGGATACCGTGTACAGTGATTCTGCTTTCAGTATGCCTTCAGTTCTGAAACACCATGTTTGCAGACTGACTTTTTTCCCCCAAAGATAATTTTCTTGCATCCATTTGTTAACTTATCATGAAGGCAGGTTTTAATCTTTCTCATTAAAGTCAATGACAAACGGCAGTTTAGGCAATACACCCATTAAATTGGCAGATCATGCCTC